ACCTCGCATAAGCCCATCTGGATAAATGGTAAAATAAGGGGGCTGCGAAGAAAGCGAAGATACCTGAGGTAACAGTTTACAAAAACACTCGGGAGACGCATCAAATAAACAGTAGCAAAATGTGGAACCCTTTTGTAATTATGGTCAATTAAAGTTATACAGAGCATGGGAGACAGCTGATGCTTGACCACCTACATTTTCCTTTAAGATTGTACTGAAATATAAGAAGTTGGACCAAAGTGAGCTGGGCACGAAACGCAAAGCGGGCAGATGAAATGGAGGCCGAGAAACGTCTCGAACACTTTCATGCTATTTTCTGATCAAAGAGTAACACTCGAGGGCTTCGTGAGGCTGCATGCAATGCCATGGTAGTATCCCAATCATGATGAACAATCTAGTGGTGCTTAGAGCGCCAATTAAGCTTGGGGCCATTAAGTCACTAGGGTCTGATGGGATTCAACCTAGGTTGCTACCCTATCAAACCAACATAGCTATGGAGATTTTCCTCGCTTGTGTCCCAGACTAGGCGACACACATGCCGAAAGGATAAGTCCATAAGCTTCATCTTCAAACAGAGGAATGAGCAAATACCGTTCAGAATGTCTCACAGACAAACTTGTCTAGTTTAATAACTAACTATAAGCCCTAAGAAGAATGGGAGGTAAGGTGTGGGCCTAGCGGTCCTACCCCAGAACATCAACCTCATTAATACAAAAACTTCATAATACAAAAACCAAAAAATGAAATTACTATCCACTTGAACTGTAGGAAAGGAATGATGTGGTGTGGTGGATACCTTCTAGAAGCCAGTCAATCAAAGTGTCTTCATCTGGTGAGGTCCAACGTATATGCCGCGACACAAAATACTCCCACGATGCTCGATGCATGCTTGGAGGGCAGAGCAAAATGCAAAAAATATTATAAAATAAGTTTCGCATCTGCCCGGAATCCGTGACAGGAAGCGGAATGGAGTAAGATTTGTAAGATTTCCGCAGCAGAGTATGCTGGGGCTACTCATATGTGGCAAGTGATTAAGGAAGCCGGAAGGATGGGATGAATAACTGAGTAGGAACTAAATTTCCTTCATGATTTGTGAGGCTCTCTTTATCTTTTGAATGACAAGTATCCCTCCGTTTGTTTAACTGGGTATTCCCCGCTTCGCTTGCCCTCTTCCGTGTTTTCAGAAATAAAGGTTCATAAACACCATTGTCTTCCACAATATTACGAGCTGTAGTTGGGCGATTTAAGTAATTATTTTCGTAGAAAAGTAGCTTTCTGAAGACTCCCTATATTGTTAAGCGGAGAACCTGTAGTTTACTTCTGTCAACTGGACAACAACCACGAGCACACCGAGGAAGCGGCTATGGGGATGCTAGCAATATCATGTGGAGATAATATGCAGCAAGAACTCACTTCATCCATAAAAGTTGGAGCAAGATTCAGCTTAAGACAGTCGACATCGATGAAAGAAAATGAAAGTAGCCTAATTATCATGTGGGGAGAAAGAAACAGTTAGCTGCTGACTTCGAAGGGCCCTTGAGCTGATCCCACCCCTAAATCAACCCGAAGTTCGACAAACCACCACAGTAACGTTGTGGTGACAGCAGGCTGCTAGCCAATTGTTAGACATTAATTTACGTCAACATCTAGGTCACTAATATTGGCCCTGAGAAAATATGAACAAGGCTGACGCAACAACCAATCACAGCAGACTTAACGTGGGCAAATGAGATTCGCAGATATATGGCTTAACTTATCGAGAAACCAGAAACAACCAATCAGAAGACTGTGTTTGTCCGCTTGAATAAGCTATAATAATGTACATGAAATGTATAAATACGCGATGATTTCCTTAATAAACGATCTGTTGCCGGTCCTTGTCTTCTGTTGTTACACCGTCAGTAAGTACCAATCCTCAGACGAAAGCATAAGTAATCAACCTCGTGAATTCGCCGAAGAACTGGGAGATATTCGGGCACGACTAAATTTTTCCATGTATTATTGATATTAGTATAAAACGTCGGCATTGTGGAAGAGTGAAACTCCATTGTAGATAAGATTTTATTTTGATAAATCACAAAATGGTATACAGGTCCGGAGGCTTCTGCTAATATCCTCGCACAACTATTGTGCAAAGTTTGGAGGGAAAGAAAGGTACCTAATGGTTGAATTTAAAGCCACCTTTTCAAGTTACCAAGATTGACTTAAGCTTTTGCATAACTGGCACAGAACTATCCCCATGTTTACATCAAGCGAAATATCACATCTTGTCATCCTGAAGAGGCTGAAAGATGCCCTAAACTTGTGACTCCATCCGGGACAGTCTGGATTCAGGAAACGCAAACTATAGGTAGGGCAAATTCGGACTCTAAGCATCATCATAGAAAACAGTAAATGCCGGCAGCAAAATCTCCAACTCAATACCATCGACTTAGAAATGGTCCTGGAAAAAATTGATTACGAAGTGATTTGGGAACTGCTTCAGCATTATGGAGCTCACGGAACCTTTCTAAACTTCATTTAATGTGACAGTGTAGCATACCATGTGATCTGCGACGGAAAACAGAACGAAGAGTTTGAAGCGGACACAGGATTAAGACAAGGCTTTCTGTCATCGCTAATGATTTCCCCTATTGTAATCCAATGACGTAGATGAAAATACCTGACTGACAACAACAAGAATCGGTAACTGTCACTGAGAGAAATTTGAAGGAAGTCACTTCCTTCACTCGTTTAGGCGACATTGTTTCTTCTAGAGACTGCACAGATGAAGGCATCCAAGGAAGAACTGAAAAGACAGGACAGGCCTCTACTAATCTAAAATCAATCTCGAAATCTACTCCACTTAGCAGAAAGAACAAGATTCAGATTTTCAGCACTTATCTCGAGTCTGCCCTTCTGTGCCATTCAGAGACTTGGCGTGAGCATCACTAATAGCTTTCTGGCAGGTCGCTGCAACCTTTAACCTTCGCTCCTTATTGAAGGAATTGACATCAAGCAACTCTGTAGTGTGACGAACCAACCAAGGACCTGTCACCCGCCGAATGTACCTTAGGAAATGGAGATGCGTCGGACACACGCTGAGGTGACCTGAACAACGAGTTGAGCCTCTAAGAGTGAAACTGAAGTGGCCGTGTGAAGAGATGACAGTTTATTGGCTATCGTGGAGCCAGCTAGGGAGCACTGGAGAGAGAAGGACGAGATGTGTGTGTGCTGTTGAAGTCTCATGCTCCATTCGAAACCTTAGGGACTAGTAATAAACATATCACTATTATGTACCATACTGAACTTCCTAAATCTTCCCGGTCCTAAATTTACTTAGTCCAACACGTAAACTTATGCACACATTCTGAAGAACAGTCACATTATCTGACTTCGTTGTTTCACGCTATGTTGCGAGTAACTGCAATGTTACAGGTTACCTAGTGCAGCTAAGGAAAAGGTTGGGTAGAGACATGATTAAAGTCTATGAAAATTCCAAATTGTCACCCATGCTTCTACCCCTCCGTTAGGAGTTTATGCTATTTTGAACTATATCCGTACTATTTTCTGGCTATGTCATGGCGCTAATGTTACCTGCAAGGATCATCCCTGGATGAATACCCCGATGTGGTATTCTTCTGCTTCCATTACTTCATCTTTGCTCCCCACAGCTGACTTAAATGGGCTTACTTTAGAGATCAGGTTTATGATCTCGTGTTGACCTCGTCATCAAAATTCATTCCTACGAAGTTTGCTGAAGCGCTTCAAATGTCCACGAAAAAGCCGTCTACCCCTTAGTCAGGCCTAAAATGTAATCGATTGAATCCATATTTTGTCCCACACTCTTTGGTCCGCAACACATAACCCCACGCAATCCACGTTCAAGTGTGTTTATCCATATAAGTCTCACACACACTGTTGTCAGACAGGGGTGTCAACCCTCCTACCTCTTCATACTAAACTATCCGCCCTATGTAAGCTGCGGTTTTGTAGATGAACTTCAGTATCACTGATCTCAGATGTTAACTCAGAGATGACGGGAAGATTCTGGCTTTATTGCTTGGTCGCTCCGCTCAACTCACTCCACATTTGGGCATTTGAATGGAGCAATATGACACCTGTCTCTGCTCCTGTGCTCTGGTCACGGAGGTTTGGAAGCTGCTATGCGTTAAACTTTTACTGCCCGGAAAATATTAGTGTTAGAGTCCTTCTGCTTCCACTTCGCACCGCTGCATACGGTCATTAAGAAGAAAATAGCTCATTCACATTCCATGAATGGTATTCTAAGAGATCATTTACCCGCGAGAACACTGATAAAGCGTTACTGAGGCAAACTGCAAACCAAGAAAGCAAAACAACCACAATATGAAAGAAACATGCTCCAAAAGTCATTTGAGGAATTATGAAATGATTATATTCTAAATAGGTTTAGAGGCTGAAGATGTTGCCGTTCACTGATGGTACAATTTTATTTTATTTTTTTGATTACAGCTTGATTCCACACCGTATTTTTGGTACAAGTACGAAATTCTCAGCATGGATATCGGTAGCCCAAAACTCGCAGGCCGACCATAGATATCAGGTGTGCGTCGGCGAGTGTTCGAACCCCGGACCATGTGCATGGTCGGAGAGAGTCCTAAGCACTGTGCCACCGACGCAATGCATGCTAACGCAATGTCTAACACAAACAATTTCTATAGTATCCATTTCGCATAAACCAAGGACAAGGCGAAACACCAGAGTGATAGCCCGAAAACACGAAGTGTATTTCAGGACCATATCGTAGAGCGGGGACTGACTATTTAACTAGCTAGGGATCGTGCGCGAACTCACTGACGTAACACGATGGAATGCCTAATTACGTGGATACTAGGCAACAAGGCTTCCACTAAACAAGTCGACCTAAACAGTGAGGCTCAGAATCCAGTCTTGAGTGATGAATGTTGTGGCTAATAATTTTGGGGATTCATCTACCCCGCAAAGTCATGTTAAAGATTGTAACCAGAAAGACTTCGGTCATGATTAATAAGAAGAATGCTAGAATTAAAAAAATGGATGAAAAGTTGAGTGTAGGTTTTGCAGCATCACATTTTCTTGATTTTTACAATCTTCGGAATGTATGCAGGAGTGAAACTATCTGTAATAGCTTTTAATAATATAAGACTAAGGTGAAGTTTGAGTGTGGAGGGAAGTTCGTTTCTCCAAGGTCACCAGTTTGTTGCTGGGTTGTGGGTAAGATATCAGCACAAGTGCTTTTGTCTTAAAGTCTCTTTTGTGAAGATCAGTCTTCCAGACCTTTGTTTATAGAGTGACTGAGTATATTGTAAATATTGAATTGGGTTATTGTTAGCACTGTGGCAATGGTTTGGATCGGGGTTTTCAAAATTAGGGTAGGATAAATATCAAAGTTTTATCTTTGAACCAACTACTTAGGAGTTCAATGTCTGATGTATATATCCATGACTTTTCCTCCAGCTTATTATATTTCAGAAAATGCTATAAGTGGTTCAGTTATCTAGTATCCTTAGAGTTAGTAGGCCTCAGAGAATCATTGATGACAATTCTTGAAGACTTCTATAATCTTGGGTGAGGCTGCTTTTAGGATATCTACATGTTGGAAGTCAAGTAGAGTAGTAGATCCAGCTACTGTGTGCTTCAAATATGATATAAATAGGCAAAGTTAAACTATCATTGTCAGAGCAGTGACTTTGAACAACCAGTCAGAAGACAGATGCTGAAAAGTCCCATAATCGTCGAAAAATGCACTAAAAACATTGCAGACTTGATATCACTCTGTAAAGTTGTTGCGTATATGTTGTAAGAATGTCTCCCAGTAACTGAAAAGATGATCTGTAGATACATACCATGTGCAGCAGATGCATTCATCCAGGTGCTGTAGGTCATGGTACTTTGAGATGCACTGTTTCTTTTTTAAACTTATTCCTAACTATAATCATAATTCTAACTTCAAACCTAATCCTAACCGTAGACTATAAACTCTAATATTAAAAGGCATAACCCTACCTAACGGTGTAGATTTATAGAAAACATACCTAAGGACTAAGTAGAATACTGTATCTACCCTTTCCAAGTCTAAAATGACTGGTATGATTTGATTTGGAATGACGTTTCATAGCATTCCTTATTCCTGATCTGTTCTTAAAGGTCAACTCTCGTCAGTGCCAGAGAAATTGTGTCAGACAAAGTCTTTTCAAATTCACATTTCTTTCGTTTTTTATGTATTTTCAAGTCCATTAATTTCTGGAAGACTGTGAACAACAAAGTGAACCACTTGACAGAGTCACTCAGAAGAATATCCCTGCCGTCGTAATCATTTTTAGACTGACTAGTTTCAACATGGAACTTTCCACAGATGTGCAGCAGTTCGAGTTGCAACACCCTTTGCAAGTAGCACACAAAGCAAGAAAAGGGAGTAGAGAAAGATTCAAAAGAGAGATAACAAAAACAAATATGAGGCAAAGAGTATAGTAATATGGAAGTACAATATAGTTTTATCGGATTTAACAAGTCACGAAGAGTGAATGCATCTTCGCCATTGAGAACGATGTCCAGCCATATCACCGGCAGTTGGTTTTTACCATTCCAAGGACACCAACCAGGAAGTCTGTCTGTCTGGATTCAACATAGAACTTGGCACCGAAGTGCAGCAGTTCGAGTTGCCACGTTCCAAATAGCACACAGAGGTAGACAAGAAGATGAGTGAAGAGAATCAATAGAGTTTGACAAATATAAGAGTGAAACAGAATGGGTAATGGTAGAAAGGAATATGAAAGATTACAGAGACTGAATACATCTGCGCCATTGACAACGATTTTGAGCCATGTCACCTATTGTCTCCAGCCATTGATTCCTAGAGTCCCGAGGGCCCCAACCCGGGAGTCTGCATCTCCCTACCTGACTCAGTTTAACTGTCAAGGATTTCATGGATTGATGCCATGTTTTTGTTTGGCCACCACTGGCTCTTTTCCAACCTGAACCTATATCAGCTAACAATGCCCGTCGGGGGAGGCGGTGGTTAGGCATGCGCACCACGTGACCTAGCCATCTTAGTCTATGTAACTTTATAGCCTCGTCGATTGATTTTCCCTCTTTGCCCAACACTCTACGCCTAACGTCAACATTACTTATCTTGTGAAACCACCTAACGTGAGACAGAGATCGCAGACATCTATGATCGAAAGCAGTCAACCTTTTCATGTCTTCAACGCGTATTGGCCATGTTTCAGAGCCATAGAGAAGGACGGAGCGAACTGATGAGCAGTACACACGTCCCTTGGTTGATAACCGGATGTCACGCCTACGCCAGAGATGGTGTAAGTCAGCGAAAGCAGCTCGAGCTTTTCGGATCCGTGCTGAGATTTCATCGCCAATCAGTCCGTTGGTGCTAATACAACTTCCCAAGTAGGTGAAGTGGTCAACATGTTCTATCACTTCACTCCCTATCACTAAGTTAGGGGTTGACGTGTCCAGTCCTGTAGCAGCATCTTACATTTTGCAGGGGCGAATCGCATGCCAAACATACGAAGATTGCTGCTCAAGGTGTTCAGAAGACTCTGCATTTTGTCAGCATCCTCCCCTAACAGGACTATGTCATCTGCATATTCTAAGTCCATTAGATTATTCCCTGGTAACAAGTCGATTCCTAAGTCACTACGTTCAGTTAAGGATACTTCCATTAGCATATCTATGATGAAGTTAAACAGAAATGGGGAAAGTGGACATCCCTGTCGGACACCACTGGTTGTTACCAATTCAGATGACAATTCCCCATAAGCCCTTACACGACTACGTGAGTTTGAATAGAGTGCCTTGATTAGTGCAATGTACTTTCTTGGCACTCCCTTCACAGTCAGACATTGCCATAGTACCTTTCGATCCACGGAGTCGAAGGCCGCCTTCAAGTCAAGAAATATGACAATTGTTGGACGCCGAAAAGTGTGTCTATGTTCTAGAATCTGTCGAAGAGTGAAGATATGATCTATGCACCCTCTACCTGGTCTAAAGCCTGCTTGATTTTCCCTTGTCTGTTCCTCCCGAGTTCTGCTTAGTCTATGCATGATTACTGAGCCTAGGATTTTAGAGACTATGTTCGTTAGGCTGATCCCCCTATGATTATCACACGAGGACTTGTTTCCCTTCTTGAATATCGGTATAATAAGTGACTTACCCCAGTCTGATGGTACTGTCTCTGATTCCCAGACTTTGCCTAGTACCTCAGTTAATCTACAAACTAGTATGTCACCCCCATATTTAAACACCTCCGGAATAATTCCGTCGGGTCCTGCCGCTTTGCCTCGTTTCAAATTACTGATAGCTTTTGTAACCTCACCTACAGACGGCGGACCAGTGTCTATATCCCATTCGGGTACGTGGTGGATGGCGGGGAGGTTCAGTGTGGCTGTAGGCAAGTTAAATTGTTCCTCAAAGTGTTCTTTCCAGCGTTCAAGGCGTCTATCCTGAGAGCTAATTAAGGAGCCATTTTTCTCAGAAATAGTCTCACTTATGAATTGCCTTCTCCCACCCGATTCTGTGATGAGTCTAAAGAGTTGCCTAGTGTTGCCTATCGCCAATGCTTTTTCCATCTCTTTCGCCTTTGTCACCCACCACTGTTCACGGTCCTTGCGGAGACTTTTAGTAAGTTTCCTTTTGTGCAGCTTTCGCTCCTCATTGAATTCGGAGCTCGCCGGAATAAGTCTTCTAGCATCTATCAGTTCGGATGAGGCAGTCGAAATCCAGTGGTTTTTACTCACCTTTGGATTTGCCTTATTCACAGCTTTTACAGCTGTATCTATAGCTGACTGAATATTCTTCCAGGCTTCTCCAGGGTGAGCACAGCTGTCGAATTCAGATATGCGTTTAGCTAGTTCTTCCTCAAATAGGGATTTAGTTTCCTGATCGAGCTGGGGACGTGATGGTTTTACCGCCAGCTGTTTCCTACGTCCGTTCAGTCGTAAGCACACACGAGCCCGGACCAGTGCGTGATCGGTATCTACACACGTGTTCCAGAAGGAGCGACAATCTCCTACCGACCCACGCCAACGATAGCTTATTGCTATGTGGTCTATTTGTGTCCAGCGTTGGTTTGATGATGGGGGTCGCCAGGTTAAACAGTGTCTCTCCTTGTGTTTAAAGTTAGTGCTTACAAGAAACAAATGATTATCTGAACAGAACTGTAGGAGACGGTCACCGTTGTCGGTTCGCTGGCACGGAACTCCATAGGTGCCACCGACATCCTTCTCAGATTGACACAATTTCCCTACTTGAGCGTTAAAGTCACCAGCTAGAACGACTATATCTGAGCGTTTAGCCTTTCTCACCAAACTAGACAGCTTTTGGTAGAACTCATCCTTCGTTTCATCCGAACTGCAGTCAGTGGGGGCGTAGGCGGAGATTACGAAAAGGCATCGGCGAGTAGTGCAGTCCTTTCTCCTTCTTACTGATCCGTTCAGACGGACAGCACACATTCGGCTATCTACTGGGATCCAGTCAAGCAATGTCTTTTCTGCCCTAGTACTCAGAGCTATCCCTACGCCAGCTAATCCTCGTGAACTAGCTGTGGCATCTCCTGACACCCTCAAGGTGAATTTTGAAGATTCATCCTGTTGGCCAGGTGGGGTTAGGTGAATAACCACACTTGGGTCTTGTATGCGTGTTTCTGAAACACAACATACATCAATGGCTCGAGATGCCAGGGTCTTAGCTAGTGATGCTTGTTGTCCTATTTGGCAAAGTGTCCTAACATTAAATGCTCCTATATGAAATTGGTGGCGTGGCTTTAGGAGACTATCCGTGGTGGTTTTTTGGCTTTCGTCGTTTTTAGTGGACACAGAGTGAAGAGGGAGTGAGGAGCCATCAAGTAGAGGAGTTGCATCAGTGGAGGAAGGCAAGGTAATAGAGATGAAGATGAAGACAAAGATAAGTGAGGATTAGAGAGGTTTTGTGTGCATTTCGGATTGTGAGGGCGATTGTTACTTCCCGGCTGCCCACACCGTGGAAGTTGGTTGCGTGACCGCAGAGCCCAGGGGACAACTGCTTGAGGCCGGTCACACGCGGCCTGTTTTTGTTTGTTCTTTTTTGTTTGGTGTGCCTCAGTAGCATACTTATCACTCCCGCCCTGTGACACGGCAGCAGGAAGCGCGGTCGTTGTTAATCCGGGCCACGGCCGATCCGGCATGAAATTTTGTGAATTTGTTTGGATCATGGTATTGGATGAGGTAGCTGCTTTTTGTTTAACCGCTATCCAAACAACCTGCCTGGCATGGTAGAACCTCAAGAGACATAAGTCTCAGCCAGTATAGCTTGATTAGGTCATTGCGGTGTTCAAGCCCGACCACCACGTCAAGGTAGCAGCTTTCGGTCAGGAAGTCTACACCTCCCCACACGACTAGCTTAAACTAACTGTTGTGGATTTCATTGACTCATGACTCATGCCATGTTCTGGTTTGACCGTCATATACTAGCTCTTTTCCAACCTGATCCAATGTCAGCTAATATTGCACGTGGAGGAAGGCGATGTGCTAACCATCTCAATCGATGTGACTTCACAACCTCGTCGATTGATTTCCCCTCGCTACTTATCTAGCACTCGACGCTTAACCTCAGTATTGCTAATCTTGTTATACATGAGGAATGGAATGCAGATACCTATGATCAAAGACAGCTAGTCAAGCTTTTCATGTCTTCCACTTTCATTGGACATGTCTTGGTGTGCGTCGGTGGCACAGTGGTTAGGACTTTCGCCGACCATATACATGGTCCGGGGTTCGAGCCCACGCCGACGCACACCTGATATCTATGGTCGGCCTGCGAAATATGGGCTACCGATATCCATGCTGAAAACTCCATACTTGTACCATAAATACGGTGTGGAATCAAGCTGTATTCAAAAATAATAAAAAATAATAATAAAAGAGGACAGAGCAAACTGCTGAACAGTTCACACGCCTTTTGGTCGACGGCCAACAGGATATCACGTCTACGCCAGAGATGGCTTAAGTTGGGGTATGCCAAACGAGCCTTCTGTATCCATGCTAAGATTTCGTCAGCAATCAGCTTGTTGGGACTGATGTGAAGTGGTCAACATGCTCCACCAACCGCTTCACTCCTGCCTATCATTAAGCTAGTAGTCAATGCAGTCCATTCCTGTAGCATTATCTTGCATTTGACAAGAGGAGCAAATCGCATACCAAACATTTGCAGATTGCAGCTCAAGGTGTTCAGAATACTCTGCATTTTGTCAGCGTCTTTACCTAGAACTTGGAACCAGTCAAAAACGGACTTATCCGCCCTAACTCTCACTGTTATCCCTACACCTGCGAGTCCTCGCGAACTAAGTGAGGAGTCTCCCGGCACCTCCAAGGTGAATTTTGCAGATCCACTTAGTTGGCCGGGTGGGTTAAGTGAGTAACCACACTCCAGGCTTGTATGCGTGACTCCGAACCCAACATATATCCATTACTCGAGATGTCAGAGTGCTGGCTAGTGATGCTTGTTGTCCGTTTTTGCGAAGGTTCCTGACGTTAAATGCTCCAATATGAAGTTGGCCACGTAGCATTAAGAGGTTCTCGGGAGTGTTTTCTGACTCTTATTGTTATTTGTGGTCACAGAATGGAATGAAGGTAACTGACTAGCCTGCAGAATAGTACTGACAAAAGTAGGGAAGCAAGATGATGATGACAGGGATAAAGGATGATCAGGAGGGCTTCATATGTTTTTGGAAGTGTGTGGGTGACTGTTACTTTCCGACTTTGCCCGCACCGATGAAGTTGATTTTTTCTTTGGGTACCTGAAAGAGAAAGAGCATCCAATGTTGCGTGACTGCGGAGCCCAGAGGAGAATTTTTAATTTTTTTAAAAATTCTTTTTGATTTACAGCTTGATTCCACACCGTATTTCCGGTACAAGTGTGGAATATTCAGCATCTCTGTCTGTCTGTTTTCGACATAGAACTTTGCACAAATGTGCGGAAGTTCAAGTCGCCACATTCCGTGTAGCACGCGAAGCAAGAGAAGAAAGTACAAGAAAAGCATAATAGAAACAGTGAGCAGAGGTGTGAGACAAAGGAGTAATAAAGAAATACAAAACAGTTTCATTGGAGATCATAAGTCACAAGGAGTGGATGCATCTGCGCCACTGAGAACGATTTTGGGCCATGTCACCAATTGTTTCCAACCATAGATTTTTACCGTCCCGAGGACCCCAGCCTGGAAGTCTACACCTTTCTACGTGGCTTAGACCAACTGTTGTGGATTTCATTGACTGATGCCAAGTTTTTGTTTGACCGCCGCTAGCTTTCAGCATGGATATCGGTAGCCCATATTTCGAAGGCCGACCATAGATATCAGATGTGCGTCGGCAGGGGGTCCAACCTCGGACCATGTGCATGGTCGGTGAAAGTATTAACCACTGTGCCACCGATGCCCAGATTACTTAATGTCCATTCTTAATTACAAGATTCCTGTTAGCCACAGGATGTGGGGACTTACAGCTTCCGTGACCTAATTCAGAATAATACACATAATGGCGTAAGGCTGGTCACATACATGACCTGTCTGAACTGGCTTTTAGGTTTGGTTCCGTATTAGCAAATTAGCTTTGGCCACGGACCACTGTAGGGTAAGTTGGGATGTATAATTTTTGGCGTTGACCTTTTCTAAACCCCTCTGTCTTCAGAGTTAAGAGATAGGATAGCTGGCATGCAGATCATCTAAAGGAAACAGCTTATTACTGTTATACACCCCAATTCTCTAGCAGTACGACTTCGCCCACAGGCACCCATCATAGTGTAAAAAATCAACCATTATGCTTTTAGTCTACTCTCTATCCCAACAATCTTTCTGTCATGGTAGGACCTGCAGGAACATTAGTTTCAAGCAGTCTAGCTTGTTGGGCCATTGAGATATGCAAGCGCGACCACCACGTCAAGGTAGCAGCTATCAGTAGGTTCATTTCTAGAATCCTGTGATGTACTTTTAAGGTTTTCATCTTTCCCCCTAATCGTTTCCTTGATATGCTAATGTTTTTTAATACCAAGTCGGCTTGCCAATATTGTTAAGCTTGATGTCTGTTTAAAATATGTTTTATAGTTAATGTATTCGTTGAGTTTTGTTTTCTGATAAACTAGTCCCAAACTCTTGTCATCTCCCCTTTTTTATTTATTTTGTTTATTTAATTCTCGTTTGTACTGGTGGATTTTGTAAACTGATACACCGATTTTGCGGTTTTTCACTACTGCGCGTTTTTACTTCACTGATGCGGTATTTGATAGTCATTGATGGACGGTTTTTATATTGTATGAGGTGGTTCGCTAAAATTAGAGTTTGTAATTTTAATCAGAGTAACTGCAGTGGTGTTTAAATTTAAGATCTATTACTCAAAAGTGGTCTCACTTACCGAAGTGTTACATACTTTGTCTTCAAAGTTTTCAACTTGTGCCTTCTAATGTAAACTTAATAATTATCCATAGTATGTACTGAAGGCATAGTCTTCCTTTTTTATATATGTATATATATTCAAGTGCTTGTGTATTGTTATCTTTTCTTCCAGTGTACATAATGAACGGCGTCACTTTCAATCATAACGAGCCAATGGCTCTGGGATCTCCTCCAAGTGGAACCACATCTCCAAGTACTTGTCAGTATCTTCCAGGATTTCTCATGAGTGAAAATCCACAAATGGCAAATGCACAATCAACTGAATCCAAGATTTCACGTCAAAGTCCTGTTTCTCCTCTGTCTGGGAATGCATATAATATGCTAGTGAGTTTTATAATCGCCTAATCACACATTTGATAAAAAAAGCTGCTTTTACAATCCGATATCTAAATCACAATGAAATCCTGTCTGTATAAATCGACTAGATTTCAAGGTTTCGACTATTGTAGGAAGTTAACATTTTTAAAAATACATTCGGAAGTTTTCTTCTCGTTTTGAGGCTCGGCGTAGAAAGTGAGTCTTAATTACAATGTTTTTAAACATATCGATCCATTACCAGGGGAAAAGTGCAGCTTTGTCTAATGTAGTAAGAATGTAAACAAAATTAAAGGGACAGTCAAATGAAAACATGATTAGAGTATTTTTTCAGCTGTATTGTGTAGGTAAATAATGAGTATTTGTGGTTGGGTTCTGCCTGACGACGTTAATTAAACTAATAAGTTTCCAGACCGTAGGTGTCACGAACTTCTTGGAATAATTTGAGCTCCGAGTCAGATTGATTCATTATAAATTATTTAAATTAATCCCAGGGTGTTAAGAAAATCCAAACAAGATATTTCTGAACGTTTCGCTGTGTAAGCCATAGCTTTAGAAGATTTATTCGGATTATTATTAATCATCAAAATATATGGTCAAAATTTTTTTTACATAAATTGAAGTCAGTTTATTGGAAGAGGATTTCATTCACATAAGGAAAGATTGACTTCTGAAGCCTTGCACATTTTAATCACATCGAATGCCATGAACAGGAAAGAAGGAATAAACTTATCACCTATATGGTGAACTCTTATGAAGCAAGACAGATGAAAAAACAACAAACACTCTATGAGCCTCCATGGTCTTTTCAAAACGTGTAGTATCATGTTTATCACATGTGAATTCACGTCTTTTCCATATGACAAATAACATGCGTACACACACACACTTATAAAAAACTAATTTTTACATATCAACGATAGAAAAATATACACAACAACAATTTGACACTTGGGACATGAGAGCCACCTCTTGCACAACGGGTCATATTAATTATTTAATTGAATTTTAGATTTGCCCGTCGATTGATTGGACCGAAGTGCTCGGTCTCACTCAGGTTGACATGTCGGCTTCTTTTGCAGATGCTTAGACAATTAAATACTAACTAAAATGCCCATACATTGTACAAGAGGTGGCTCTCGTGGCCCAAGTTGTCTAGTGGGTAATGACGCTTTGGCGTTTGAAACTATGGTCACTGGGTTCAAGCCTCACTGTTGGGAACATCATCACTCACTGAGAAATGCAGGTACATCCAGCTGACTAGTCCCAAATAGGACGAAATGCGCGTTATTCTGGATTCCACTGCTAGTTACCATCCACCAGTTAAATATTTATGTAGTTATGATGTAAAGTAAAATTCACTGGGGGGGGGTTACTTACTCTCTGTTTTTATTTAGTTCTCCTTTTGTTAGACTTTCTGTTTACTCTTTTCTTCAAGTTTTTATGACTGATGTCCTATTTTTAAAATTCTTCATTCTCCACTTTGCTAACCAAGATAAATTACAGTGATTTGGGCTGCTGTGTAATTTAACCAGTTCTTGTATTTAACTGTCTCTGTGCATTTGTCTTTGATTTAACCTTCTTGATCTTGATTAAGTTAGAGTTCAATGCATAACTATGACAACTTAAACTGTTGTACTTCTGTGCAAAGTTCTGTATTGAAACTCACTTCATCAATCAGTCAGTCAGTCGTTTTCAGTGTACATTTAGGATCACTTTTTCTTTATGTGCGGCTGTGGATTCACCCTGTACGTATGTTAGACATCTCAGACTTTCTATCGAAAGACATAAGACTAACTAACTCCGATTCAATTTTGAATTGTTCACTTTAACTAAATGTCAATTTTCTATTGAAGGTGAATTGACTGTTTCATATGTTCATATATCAATCGTAGTCATCTACCAAAATCTATTCTGTTATAATTTGCTTGTTTACCACCATCCGGTTTAACCGATTGGATTGCGTAAGTTATGCTTATAGACTAAAGCGAAATTTAGTATATAGATAGCAACACTTCTACATTTTGACATGTTAAACACAAAAGCTAACAATAAAACTAATCACAGTGACGTCATAAAAATCAAATTAATAAACCATTTCTAAAGTTAATCCTACTTTACTGTAACCTATAAGCTTTGTAAATCCTATGTGCAGCCTAGAGTGTACAAAGTGTGCTCATATTGTGACTAACAGTTCAAATAAAGTGATCCTGATATAGATTGCTAATGCTGTTACGTTATTTACTCCGATGGTGGTAGGAGAATCGGTTGGGGGTGGGTGGGTTTCACTACTTTTCTCGCTCAGTGAAATTTATCTGCAACTTTGAGTTAGCTGACGTCACCTGAATGATTTGAGCATGAATCTTGTGATATTTGAATATAAAGCAAGAAAAACAGTGGTTTGTGCAGAATAATATGGTACCATCATGTATTTCGTTAGCTTCTCATCATCTGCTTACAGTCTAAATAAATTATGGGGTTTACGTACAGAAAAGTTTTAACATACTTGCAAATTTTACATGTTGTCAGTTAACAAAAAGTTCCACAATAAGTGAACAGTGCTCATAAAACTGTGCTTATATAGTTTTTACACAGGCAGTTCAAGTTTAAACAAAATAAATGAATGCATACAGTTGTAAAGGAGTTGCGTAATAAAGACGAAATATGCGTTAGATACAGAGTGACTTATAAATTAGGTAACAATGTATTGAGTTCAACTGAAATCATAGAAACAAGAGACAAGCAAAATTACAGATTATAAAAGGGGGTGAGGTCAAAGACAAAGATTACGTAATCAGATGAGAGAATAAAGATATTCAGTTACCAGGGCAAGAAAAGACTAATAACTGCTTCTTTTTGAACACATAAATCTGGTTTCAAGCGTTTGATGGAAATTGCTTTGGCAAACTTGAGGAGAATGAAACTCCTTTGTCTATTGATAATTTTAAAGGATTTCTCCATTTCTACCTCATGACCCGTGTCGAGGAGATGTCTAGTAATAAGGCTACTATGAGAGTTTGTTCCCTTGAGACGTAGGCTTTTCGGCACATGTTCAGAAAATCGGAGGTGTGCCCTTCCTTCTGTTCTCCCGATGTAACTGCTCCCACAGATACACGTAAATTTATGTACACAGTTGGAGTTAACATGAGAAGGGCATCTATCGACTTTCGACTGCGCCGAAAAGCATGTTGTTCGATGGACGGGAACCAACTTAGCTGCAGGATAGTCTCTGGCTAGCGATGTTCTCAGTCTTCTGTTGACCATTTCTGTAATGTTTTCACCTTTAAAATCCAGTCGACTGAAGACAGACTTTTTTCAACTGTGATTGGTTTGGTATTTGAGCCTTCACATATTCCATATTTGTTAATGAATCTTTGAAGATAACTGTTGTTTTTCAGCACCTTTTCGAGATTCGTGAATTCTTCCTCTAGTTTCTCTGCAGAGCATCTTGTGGTACTATGAAAACTTTTCTAATTTATAAAAAGGCCAATTGAGTATCGTCTTATTGACCAACTTTTTTACCTGACTTTCTAACCTAACACTTCAACGTACTACTTGATATTTCCTTTTATTTGTCTGTAAAGTTGTAGCCTATCGCATTTCAAGTCGTTTGTGTCAATCAGTAGGTCTTGGGTTCTAAAGTATAAACATTCAGTAGGATATTATGACCTAGATCTTACACTTGGTGTACTTCAGAGTTGAATGTGTAAATTTTGATTGGATTAAAGACTACTGGCAATCAGTCAGTCAGTTCTCATATTCACTGTGTAAACGTGTAGAGTAGCAAGGTATTCACCTCTGTCGAAGATATCATCTCAAATAATGATTATATATTCTGCTTTCTTAGGCTTCTTCAGCATTGGTGTAGGAGGAGAGAAATGTTGTGTAGTAGAGTCTTGAAGACCACTTGGTCAATGATTAAAATCAATTTCTTCTGACGTAGTCTTCGTTAGTACTTACATCCGATATCCTGGAATACCATGGTATGGTAAATACTTTATGCTAAGCATTTAAAGGGAATATATTTTTTGGGTTTGTACTCATTTCTTTCTGTGATAGCTTATTTTATACTTTTATTGCATTATTTTTAGGCTCCTCAACATAATGTAAATAAATTGCAACCAAGATTTATGAGTCAAGCGCAGGATACAGTTGCACGTCGTTTAACATCACCTCCAATACGAAGTATGTGGTCGTCTGTTAATGCTACTTGTGTTCCTGCTAAAAACACATCAGATAATTTTGGCGGTGTAAAACACAGTACACCAATTCCTGCTGTTGGCACACCAGTAAATCCATCAATGAAAAGGTTGGGAACTGCAAGCCCATTTCAGTCACCCGGTGATCCAAATTTCCATCGTACTCCTTTGCATAATATTGGAAATAATTCTACCTCTTTCGTTGGATCTCCACTGCACAATAATAACAGTATGACAGGGAATCCAAATGATGATTTGGTTAATAAGCAAGAGGGTTTGATAACGCCTAATCGTTTAGCTGAAGCACTGCTTACACATCAAAGGTAATTATTGACTGAGCCCTTCATATTTACTCGTCACATTCTATTGCTCGTTAAAACGATTAAGCTGACTTCGGACCGACTTAAAACTCTGACACCATCGAATAATCACACTGCTGCGTGGTAATGATTTAAGGTTTCTACAATGCCATGGATATATGCGTGGATTGCTTTATCTATTTCATCAATTTATGTTGCTTTAGTTGTAAAGTTACTTTTTACACCTGAGGTTGATTAGAAATAGCGAAAAAATACCTATGTGTTAGTTGGCTCCTGATTAGTATATTTTTGATTTGGTTGTGTTCTCTGAAGTGGTTGATTTAATTACGAAGCCTTCATTGTCTCCCTCCCCCCTCCTAGAAAACTTCAGCGCATCCTCTAACATGAAGTGAGTAAACTTATTTGAATTCTCCATGAATGATGCTTCGCATATGCCAGTTTACGCCGTCTCTGGCGTAAACGTAATATCCGGCTGGCTATCGACCCAAGGGCGGGTGTACTGCTCATCAGTCCGCTCCATCTCCCTTATAGCTGTGAGACGTGGCCATTGAAACTGGAAGACATGAAAAGCTCGGCTAGCTGTCTTTGATCATAAGGTGCCTGCGCTCTATCTCCCATGTGACAAGTGGTATAGTGAGGTGGGCAATATTGAGGTTAGGCGTCGAGTTCTAGGTAGGTGGGGGGAAATCAATCGACGAGGCTGTGAAATTACATCGACTGAGATGGTTAGGACATGTGTTACGTATGCCTAGTCATCGCCTTCCTCGACGGGGAGTATTAGCTGATATAGGGTCAGGCTGAAAAAGAACTAGCGGTGGTCAAACCAAAACATGGCCTCATCAGTGGATGAAATCCACAACAGTTAGTTTAAGCCACGTAAGAAGATGTAGACTTCCTGGTTGGGTCCTCGGGACGGTAAAAACCAATGGTTGAAAACAGTTGGTGATATGGCTCAAAATCGTTCTCAATGGCTGGCACAAATGCATCCACTCCTTGTGACTTGTGATTTCCAATGAAACTGTTTTGTTCTTCATTATTACTATTCTTTTTTCTCACACCTCTGTTTACTGTCTCTATTATGCATTTCTTCTAGTTTCTTCTCTTGGTTTGTGTGCTACAAGAAGGGCATGTGGCGACTTGAACTGCTGCACATATGTGTAAAGTTCTATGTCGGAAACAGACAGACATGAATGCTGATATAATTATATTTCCTGACAACTATTGTCATGATCGGCTATTAAGTGACATCTTTATTGATTTGGAATTCATTTTTGTCATGTGATTTATTTTCCATTAGTTGGTAAATTTGATCAATGATCAAATGATGAAACGAAAGATGAGTTCTACCGAAAGCTGTCTAGTTTGCTGCGAAAGGCCGAAAGCTCAGATGTAGTCGTTCTAGTTGGTGACTTTAACGCTCAAGTAGGGAAATTGTGTCATTCTGAGAAGGATGTCGGTGGCACCTATGGAGCTCCGTGCCAGCGAACCGACAACGGTGACCGTCTCCTACAGTTCTGCTCTGATAATCATTTGTTTCTTGTAAGCACTAACTTTAAACACAAGGAGAGACACTGTTTAACCTGGCGACCCCCATCATCAAACCAACGCTGGACACAAATAGACCACATAGCAATAAGCTATCGTTGGCGTGGGTCGGTAGGAGATTGTCGCTCCTTTTGGAACACGTGTGTAGATACCGATCACGCACTGGTCCGGGCTCGTGTGTGCTTACGACTGAACGGACGTAGGAAACAGCTGGCGGTAAAACCATCACGTCCCCAGCTCGATCAGGAAACTAAATCCCTATTTGAGGAAGAACTAGCTAAACACATCTGAATTCGACAGCTGTGCTCACCCTGGAGAAGCCTGGAAGAATATTCAGTCAGCTATAGATACAGCTGTAAAAGCTGTGAATAAGGCAAATCCAAAGGTGAGTAAAAACCACTGGATTTCGACTGCCTCATCCGAACTGATAGATGCTAGAAGACTTATTCCGGCGAGCTCCGAATTCAATGAGGAGCGAAAGCTGCACAAAAGGAAACTTACTAAAAGTCTCCGCAAGGACCGTGAACAGTGGTGGCTGACAAAGGCGAAAGAGATGGAAAAAGCATCGGCGATAGGCAACACTAGGCAACTCTTTAGACTCATCAGGGAAACGGGTGGGAGAAGGCAAATCATAAGTGAGACTATTTCTGAGAAAAATGGCTCCTTAATTAGCTCTCAGGATAGACGCCTTGAACGCTGGAAAGAACACTTTGAGGGACAATTTAACTTGCCTACAGCCACACTGAACCTCCCCGCCATCCACCACACCCGAATGGGATATAGACACTGGTCCGCCGTCTGTAAGTGAGGTCACAAAAGCTATCAGTAATTTGAAACGAGGCAAAGCGGCAGGACCCGACGGAATTATTCCGGAGGTGTTTAAATATGGGGGTGACATACTAGTTTGTAGATTAACTGAGGTACTAGGCAAAGTCTGGGAATCAGAGACAGTTCCATCAGACTGGGGTAAGTCACTTATTATACCGATATTCAAGAAGGGAAACAAGTCCTCGTGTGATAATCATAGGGGGATCAGCCTAACGAACATAGTCTCTAAAATCCTAGGCTCAGTAATCATGCATAGACTAAGCAGAACTCGGGAGGAACAGACAAGGGAAAATCAAGCAGGCTTTAGACCAGGTAGAGGGTGCATAGATCATATCTTCACTCTTCGACAGATTCTAGAACATAGACACACTTTTCGGCGTCCAACAATTGTCATATTTCTTGACTTGAAGGCGGCCTTCGACTCCGTGGATCGAAAGGTACTATGGCAATGTCTGACTGTGAAGGGAGTGCCAAGAAAGTACATTGCACTAATCAAGGCACTCTATTCAAACTCACGTAGTCGTGTAAGGGCTTATGGGGAATTGTCATCTGAATTGATAACAACCAGTGGTGTCCGACAGGGATGTACATTATCCCCATTCCCGTTTAACTTCATCATAGATATGCTAATGGAAGTACCCTCTGGTTTCATAAGGTAAGTAATGTTGACGTTAGGCGTAGAGTGTTGGACAAAGAAGGAAAATCAATCGACGAGGCTATAAAGTTACATAGATTGAGATGGCTAGGTCACGTGCTGCGCATGCCTATCCATCGCCTCCCCCGACGGGCATTACTAGCTGATATAGGCGGTGCAGGTTGGAAAAGAGTAAGTGGTAGCCAAACAAAAACATGGCATTAATACATGAAATCCTTGACAGTTAAACTGAGTCAGGTAGGGAGATGCAGACTTCCGGGTTGGGGCCCTCGGGACTCTAGGAATCAATGGCTGGAGACAATAGGTGACATGACTCAAAATCGTTGTCAGTGGCGCAGATATATTCAGTCTCTGTAATCTTCCAATCTTCCAATCAAGATACTTAAAGCTGGGAAAACACCGGGACCAGATGGAATCCCAGCAGAGGCTTTGAAAATAGACCCAGAGACAACAGCGGACTTGATGACACCACTGCTGGAGAAGGTGTGGAAAGAGGGCAAAGTACCCGAGGATTGGAAGAACAGCTACTTATTCAAACTTCCAAAGAAAGGAGACTTAAGTCAATGTAAAAACTGGCGTGGAATTATGCTTCTGTCCATTCCAAGCAAGATACTAAGTCGCATCATCCTAGAGAGAATCAAACAAGCCCTAGATGGAAAACTTCGTCCGGAACAGGCTGGATTCAGGAGAAACAAATCATGTATTGATCAAATCGCCACTCTACGGATCATCATTGAACAAAGCTTGGAATGGCAGTCACCTCTCTATCTCAACTTCATCGACTTTGAAAAGGCCTTCGACAGCGTCGATCGAGAGGTCATTTGGAAACTACTTCGCTACTACGGGGTGCCATCGACAATTATACACCTCATCCAACAGTTATACGACAATGCTGCATGCCAAGTAATCCACAACGGGAAACTTACGGAAGCCTTCGAAGTGAGGACGGGAGTGAGGCAAGGCTGTCTACTATCACCAATGATCTTCCTGATTGCAATTGATTGGATAATGCGACAGACAACGGCAACCAACGAGGGAACAGGCATAAAATGGACTGACACAAAAGACTTGGAGGATCTGGATTTCGCCGATGATATATGTCTGATTTCCCATAAACTGGAAGATATGCAAGTGAAAAGTAACAAGTTGGCAGAAGAAGCATCAAAGATAGGACTTCACGTGAACATAGATAAAACAGAGATAATGAAGATTCCTAGCCAACATCAACAGCAACACCAACAGACCACAATAAGCATAAATGGGAAGAGCCTGAAAGAAACAACCTCCTTCACCTACCTGGGAAGCATCGTCTCAACTACAGGCGGAACTGACGAGGACATCAAAGCCAGAATCGGAAAAGCAAGACAAGCTTTCATTACTCTCAAATCTGTGTGGAGGTCAACAGCAATCAGCATCAAAAATAAGATCCGGATTTTCAACTCCAATGTGAAGTCAGTGCTACTATACGGATCAGAGACTTGGCGAGTCATAAAGAGCATCTCAAACAAACTTCAAACCTTCATTAACAACTGTCTCCGCTCAAGATCAGATGGCCAGAAAAGATCAGATCTGGGAGCGAACCAGTCAGGAATCGATTGTGAAACAAATAGGCAGAAAGAAATGGAGATGGATTGGCCATACGCTGAGGAAACCATCAAGTGACATCACTAGACAAGCCCTCGAGTGGAACCCGAAAGGGAGGCGGCGAGTTGGTCGTCCAAGGGTGACTTGGAGGAGGTCATGCGAGGAGGAGATGAAAGCATGTGGACAGACCTGGAGCAGGGTGAAAAAGTTGTCAGAAAACCGAAGGCAATGGAGGTGCGCAGCTGAAGCCCTATGTTCCTCTAGGAACTAAAGGATACAATAATAATAATAATAATAATAAATCTTCCATATTCCTTTCTACCATTACCCATTCTGTTTCACTCTTATACTTGTCAAACTGTATTGATTCTCTTCACTCATCTTTTTGTCT